GAAGAGAAGCCATGTTGGCCAATCAAATCCATTCCCGAAATAAAATCATCTTCTATATCGGCGACTTATGTTCTGTGCCCAAAGGTGGTAGATCCAAAAGTAAGCTCAACCATAGCTTCACCTTGAACTGGTGCTGATTCTCCCGTGACTGTTCGTAGTGACAGGTTTCTAGTGAGTGGTTGGATTGACCGAGACTTGACTAATGTTCTTCTAATTATAGAAACTTCAGCACCCGTCCGTATCAAAAGTGATGGTTTTAAATTCTCCATTAATTTATCCTTCGAATTTTAATCCTCTGCCCAATGAGTTCATGTAAACAACCCTGGGGGCTTCTTCATGACTGACGAGCATACGCGCCTCCGTATTGGTTGGTTCCTGTCTGTTATTAAGGCTGGCGTCTCTAAATCTTGAAAAGCGTTGGGAACGATCCCTAGATGGAGAGGACATCCTCACTCTACAATACCATTGCATATGTCTAAGCTTATGACACCGGTAACATTCTACTCGGTTTCTCGAGGTTGGTGTTTGTCTGGAGTCGTTTTCCGTTTGTCTACCTTCTAGTAATATTTGTTCCATTTTCTCCAAGAACTGACTCATAACATTCTTGAATCTACCATCTTCTTTTGACGATTGTTTTTCCTTTGGGTCTTCAATGGATACTGCTCGTATTCTGGTTCGTGAGGCATCAAAGATTGCTTTCAGTTCCAGTGCTCGGACAAGGGCTTCGCTACTTTGTCTGAACTTAGACATTCTCAGGTTTTCTTGAATCTTGGAATCTCTGAGACCATCAGTGAACGTAGATACTGCCATCCATTCCTGCATGTCTTCCCCAGTTGCAGGAAACGCCAAACACACTAGCCTTTTAATTTCCGATTTGAATTCTTTTAAACTCTTGCCGGGTTTTTGAATTCTTGATTTACTTGATTCTGAATGCTTCTTGTTTGTAATGATCTCCGAAGCGCAATTCTGACGCCTGACTTAGATGCTAGTAGATTGAAGGAATGAAGAACATCTAAGGCAGGTCCTTGTAGCGCCACACGCAAGTATGCTCTACGGATTTATTGTTCGGAACTGTAAGCAATTCACAAACATCAATGCCCTTAAGGCATTCTGTTTTGCGTGCGTGCGCTCCAGGTTGGAATATGCATCTGTCGTATGGAATTCATTTTACAATGAACGGGAAGTTGAAAAGATGCAAAAAAGATTCCTGAAGTATCTTTCATACAAGGTTGAAGGCACTTACCCTCTAAGAGGAACCGACTATAATATATTTCTTGAAAACTTTAATGTCAGAAGTTTGGAGAGTCTGCATAATGAAACTTCAGTTATCTTCCTTTTCAAATTGTTATATAACCTTATTGATAGTCCAGAGCTGTATAAATCTTCGACTGCCTCGACTCGGTTATCGTATTGCTGCACTATTTTATACAGAAAGAGCAAACACAAATCTCCTACTAAGCTCTTCTATCTACACTGTCTGTTCTAATTTTAACTAAATATCAGGAACTTGTGATATCTTCAACTGTACTTTAAGTAAACTAGAAAGACAGGTGCTTATTTTTTTTTAGTTACGTTGGTAAGCTTTTTACATTAGATAATAGTTACTATATCTTAAGTATATTTGCCCGGTAAATGAATTTGTTTTTTTTTTTTTACCAATTAAGTTAATTTAATTTAATTTAACTTAACTATCAGTGCTGTAGCTTTTTCTTGATCGTTCCATCCGTTGGTGTTTGCAGCAGCTTCAAATTATCGAATATACATGGTCCAGGACATAGAACCGTTAAAAGTTGGTGGTTTTATCTTCATTCTAGGGAATGCTCCAAGACTACCTGGATTGATGGACTGTGTTTCTAATTTATTCACCTTATCTTCAGGTGCTTGAATTTGGTCCTCAACTTCTTGTATTAATTGCCGAACATCGTCTTTAATTTCTTGAACATTGTCTTCAACTTCTTGAACATCGTCTTTAACTTCTTGAACATTGAACAACATTTCAGCTTTTACTTCCTTAATGTTATGCACTGCTACAGATCCTTGTATGGTTTGAAATATTTTCTGCAGTTGTCCAGTGTCTTCTTGCCGTTCTTGTTGCCGCCTAGCCTCTTCTTGTTGTCGTCTTTCTTCTTTTTCTTCTTGTTTTTCTTTTTATCGCCTGGCCTCTCCGTCTTGTTGTTCTTGTTGTCGTTTAGTTTCTTCTTGTTTTTCTTGTTGTCGTTTAGCCTCTTCTTGTCGTCTAGCTTCTTCGTCTTGTTTTTCTTTTTGTCGTTTGGTCTCTTGAAGTTCCAACATTTTGCGCAGAAGTTCTTCAACTTTTTGTTCTTCCATTTTTGCTTCTTGTCTCGTAATAGGCATATACAGAATATTCTAGAATTTCCCTCAAACTCTCCTCAAATATATATATTTTTTTTCGGTCTTTGAATGAAGTTCGAAACACGCGCTCTTGAAATGTATTTTCTGAATGTCGATTGATATAGTAAACACGTCGGTGAAGTCACAAATTCGATATCTCCCTTGGTTTCCGAATGGAATTTTCTAGAACTTACTTGAAAATTCACAGTCAAAATCGGGTATACAGTCACTTCCGGCGTAATTTGCACAATCGGTTAAGTCTCTTTTGATTATTGTTACTGCTTACAGTGACTAACTATCCCAGTGTGCACTTAGTGTCCAGTGTCCACACTACTCACTAGTGTCCACACTACTCACTAGTGTCCACACTACTCACTAGTGTCCACAATACTCACTAGTGTCCACACTACTCACTAGTGTCCGCACTATTCTGCAATCGGATTTCACTTTGCAGTCCTCGAATTATATCTCACTTCTGACACCAATATTACGGCTCTGGGGTGCGTGACAGAAATCTTGGGTCCGTTTGTTCAAGATCCAAGTCCAATTAACACAACAATAATTTATTCCACGTTACAGTACACTCTGACACTAATTACTTCACTAATTAACTCAAGCAACTAAACTCTTCACAACTCTCAATAATAATCACTATCTAAATCATATCACCGTCAATCTTAAACTAAACTACCAACTAATACCGTCGATGGCGAAAGCGCACCGCGACAGTATTGTACTACGAAGCGGAAACATCGCAACCTATTTGTGTCCTCTACTACACTATAAAAAAAATAAAGGATATACAGGGTGTCCCACGGTGGATGGCGTATAAGACGTTTATAGAAAAATAAATAGTGGATCATTTTGAAAATTTGGCAAGCGGGATAAACGACATGATCTACACTTTAAAAATATTTTTGATCATGCGGTGTTGCTGCTTTTACTCTAAACCAGTGACAACATCGCTAGTTTAAATAAAACACCCTGTATATTTTTGAATTTTTGAATTCGGTATTTAATTATGAGCAACTTTTTCTAATACTTCCCTGTATTTATCTGTCGTTATTTTTCGGGAATAAATTAATTTCAATTCTTTTTTAACGAAAACAGGAATTAATTTCTGGACCATCCTGTATATTGTCCGTCGATTTTAATCTGATACTCGGACGGAATGTGAGCTGGTGGCTCCCTACATTAGAACGTCAATGGTTACCTAACGTCACACCTGTTTTTGCCATATAAAACAGCCCCTCGCTCCTCATACCGCAAGTATCAGTTAAAAATCGACGAACAATACTTGAACTAAGTTGTGAGCGAAGCGAAAGATTAAAAGCCCACAGGCAATTTTCAAATTTCAGCTCAAAATTGTTTTATCGGAGGAAGATATTAAGATTTATTGGAAAAAGGCGCCACATAGGTATAGGGAAGTATTAGGAGAAGTTGCTCATAATTATAGGCCGAATTCAAAAATTTAAAAATATACAGGGTGATCCATTTTAAATAGCGATGTTGCCACTGGTTTAGACTTCAGTTCTTTATAAACGCCTTATACGCCATCTACCGTGGGACACCCTGTATATAATCGGTGAACTCTTGTTACCTCTTACAATTAACCTAAATGTTTGTCTCCATATTGCCAAATCTGTATCTCTTGTAGCCATAAGCAATAAAAAAGATAATTATTATGTTAATTTTTACGAGCATTAAAAAAATCTTGAAAAGAGAAAAATTGTTGTTTGTGTCATTTGGCCAAGAAGTGGGTCTTTCTGTGCTGAGCTTGACGTTTGAAGGATGTCGCGTAGTGCGGAAAAAAATCTTATCCGCACGGCGAGCGGAAAAGTATAACTTTGCGGTTAGACCGGGTTCGAATCCTGGCCAGACCGAAAAATATGTTTCGGTTAGACATTTAGTGGCTTCTTTGAAAAGACTGCAAAATGTATCATCGTCCTCCCCCCCATTCCCCATTCACGTTGCTTAGATGCCGGACGGTATCAGATATACCGTGGAGAAAAAGGAAACCTAGGAACACAGTCCCCAGTCGGTGAGCTGCACCAAGAGAAACAACAGGTAGTGCCCCAAAAAGGGTACACGCCTACAGGTCCTTTGTAACTGATGACCGTGGTTCGGAAAAGCTCCAATAAGCGCTAGTTTTTCTTTGTAAACGTAATGAGGCATTACTTGTTCAGTTGTTTTTGTCGAAACCCTTATATAAACAAAAGTTAATGTTTCAAGTGTTTTCTAATAATAGGAATGACAGATACCACATTAGATGTGCGCTTATATAATACTCCATTTCTAGTTCAATGTTCTCTGGCTTCTACAAATTATCCATGTTGCTATGTTTACCATAGCAAACTACTGCTACTTCAATTAGCTTTAAAACATTTTGTTCGCACCCCCTCCGGTTAAAATAGATTTTCCATTTTGCTCTAAATACGTATATTTTCAAACTTTTAAAAGCACTGCTATGCAAAAACCCATTAATTTTATTATTCTGTTTTACTCTATTGTTTTAAAAGTACATAAAATCATGTAATACGATTACTCCCTGCCCGTGCCCAAATTAACTCTAATTTGAGACTCGCAGGATGTTTTATTTTTAGGAAATACTATTTGAATGTGTATTCAATTTCTATATTTTCTTTCAGGAATAGAAGCAATTATGTCGGAATTCTTCAATGACACTACTACAGCTTTTTATGTGATTCTAATTGTTTGGCTAGCTGATCAGTATGACGCCATTTGTTGTCACACTATTATAACGAAGCGCCATTGGCTGAAGTAAGTACTATTTTTCAGATTCTATAAGATATAACGTAACATGTAATATCCGTCTGGATACTACAGGCACTCAAACTGTCACCTCCAAAACACGGCCGCATAATATCGAATATTCCAAACTGACAGTTAATTAATTTAAGACGGTCTCTCCGATTCCGGACGTCGGAGGGGGTCTATTTACTCGAAAACAACACGAATGGAAAAATTGAGGTTTTTAATACAAATTTTTAAAAGAAGCTTTAAATATCGAAGTCTCAAAATAATTAGGTATGAGGGATTAATAATTGGCGTTCTTTGCCCGAGTTTCAGTTTTGATGTTATAAAATCTTGCGCTCGAATTTTTAAAGATCTTTTCAGGAATTGACATCGACAGTTCGCTTATTTTTATTTGAAAAATAATGAAAATATCAAATTTATTTATTGAAAAACTTATCGTGAATCTGATATTTAAGAGAAAATTTGCTTATAGAAATACGTGATTGAAGACCTATGGTTTTTTTTGTCCACTATCACCTTTATATGTTAAGAACTGAAAATCTAGTTTATATTGAGGTCAATAATAATCATATTCATTCGAAAAATCGTCCTTTTATCGCCTTTTATCGAATTATTTAAAACATATGTCGGATCGTGTCTAGAAAAGGCACAAGAGAGGGCCGAAATATCATCAGATGGCGACTGGCAGCCCTTGAAAACCGATTACATCCGACTTTAATGGTTTGGGAACGGATCGCATTTGCATGATTGTCATCGCGCGCGCCCCCGTCCCCCTGACAAATTTGGTGCTCCAGAATTAATAAGGGCCGACGAAGTAGTGTTTACGGTTCGTTAGGAATCATTTTAGGGAATTTGCAAATCTGTAGCCTATAATTATGTTTTGAAGCTGAGAGGTCATTTTAATTATACTATATATTTATGGCTAGTGTCATAATGAATAAGAAGAGCTGCTTTGGAAGGCTTGGCTTTTCGATAGATTATATTTAAGGGTTTTCTCATGAAAATGAATCTTTATTCCTAATTTTCATTCACATATTACCTATATGACTTGCATCCGTCATTGTATGCATCTCCCTGGAGCCAGAAATTATTTTCCTGTAATTGGCAGCGTCCAAATCGTCATTTAACAATGCAAATCATTTTGCTTTCAACTATCCATTAGGGCATTTCTCCATTTTTTGGAAATTGCAGATTTTTTTTTCTAAAAGGCCCTCATAGAATTTGTGGAAGCTTTTAATTGTGAAATGGAGCTTGTGGTAAAAAAATTCTTTAAATAACACAGTATGGCTGCAAATACTTTTATATTGATCTCTAGTTCGTATAAAATTAATTGTTGATGTTAAAACATCTAGACACTACAAAAAAATTTTTTTTGAATTAAAAGTAGGAACATGTTCTAAATGTGTAACATAAACTCAACTCGCTTTTCCAAAGAAACCGACATTCACGAATGAAGAACAATATAATGTTGAAATTTTAAAAAATATATATAAGACAGTATGGCCTAGGTAATATAAATTATTATAGAATGTTTTCTGAAGGAAACACATAAATACAAATAAATTTTTAATAAGAATTGATAAGTTAAATTGACTCGGAGTCACATAAGCAAATGAAATGGTTTATATCGACCAGTAATGTTAACATACTTTGAGTCCAATCAAAATAAGTTTTAGTAACTCATAAAATGCCGCATACAATAACGACTAGGCGGCACATTGGATAAAAGCTATTAGGGTACGTATTAATCGGTTGAATATACACTCCACTGGAATCGTTTTCTCTGACGTCTCACAACCCGCGCCGCTCTATATGTGAGGAATGAGTCACTCACACTTATTTTGGACTTAGAGTATAAGCAAAGTCGCGAGACTGCTGTAGCAATTTCACATTAAAAAGGGTTGGAAACTTATAAAGAAATATTTGTCTCAACGATAGACGATAGTTTGTGATAGGTGATTAATAATTTTGTTGAGTTAATATGATTGCAAGTAATCACAGGACTACTTTGAATCATGATGCTTTGCACTACCTCAGACTGTCAGACATAGGCCTGCTCTAGATATTTCCACTTCCCGTTGTTTTGAGCGGTTGCAACTGCAATTTTTACTGAGTCTTTCAGATCATCCGTCCATCTCGTGGGAGGTCTTACTCGGTTTCGCTTGTCTGATCTCGGTCTGCAGTCTAAAACTTTTTTCGTCCATTTACCATCCTTGTACCTTGCTACATGAACAGCCCAACTCGATTTAGATTTTGCGATTTCCTCTTTTATGTCTTTCACTCCAGTTCTTCTTCGTCGTTTTTTATTTTGTACGTCAGAGTTATTTCTAGCATTGATCTTTCCATCTTGCGTTGTGTGACACGTAGCTTTTTGGCTGATGCTTTTGTGAGTGTGAATGTATCTGTCCCATAGGTGAGAACTGACAAGACGCTTGTATTAGAAGTTAACCTCTTCAAGGATGGGTATATCTTAGGACTTCGAATATGTTTGCGCCGCCTCGGGTTTAACCGATGGTTCAACTTAAAACAAAAAATATTTACAAAATGATAATAATTGAAAAATTAGGGTTAAAATTGAAAGCTTAAGCTACGCGAATACAATACTAGATTCAGATATTGATTAAAAAAATATATATAATGTTCCTGAAGTATTTATAATTAATTATTAACTGAATTTTTGACCTGTCTGGATTTCTATTAAAAAAAATTACACCCTTTAGTCGAGATAATAATTGATGGAGTCAAACAGAAAATGGCTATTCAGGCCTCTGCCTGGATTCCATAAAGAGTTGATAGGGATGGACACACAAATTTGGTTTTCACCGACTCTATTTAGAGCAAATGGTCCAATATTCCCACTTTAACCATTGATTCTGAAAACCAGAGCAGCAGTTCCTATTTATTAGTCCAAAAGTCTGAATTGACTTACCTCAGAATAAACGTGGCACAACCAATCAGCACTCACACAAAATGGAAGCCAACAATTAGATAAAAAAAAATTAAAATATAATATTTATATTTCAAGAATAGATAAGATTTATCAGGCAAAAACTCAACAATGATATAATAATATGAATTGATAGCAAAATATATTGAAAAATCTATGAGGGAGAATCCAAAAAAGGTAAAGCAAAAATTACCAAAGATGAAAATGACTTGCCTGCCAGACTACTGTCTGAGATACTAAGCAACACTTGTGGTATAAGTGGGACATGGAAGATTATTTTGCGAAAGCGATTTTGATATTTCCTGAAGCGAGGAGACTAAATCTTTCGGAGTGATAATCGAGCTGTGTAGAATTTTTAAACGAGCAAATGTAATAGCATTCAGGAGGTCAGTGTTCTATGAAAACGTAACTTTCCATAAGGGATTCGCAAAGGTTTAGGGTTCTTATTTGTCCTTCTTAAAATATCATGGAGTCTGAAATGTCCATATTGGATTTTCTTATTTTTTCGATGTCTTCATTGAATGTTGTTTCGTCAATTTGTTTTGGAGAGTAGATTTAAAACTTTTGATTACCAAAGTTGTAACTGATATTTGGCTCTTTAGGAGGTTTTGGAGTTCGGGTTCTCCCCAATTAGTTTATTTATGCATGCATTGAGATATTCGCCATCTGAAGAATCTAAATTGCCAGTTATCGATTTAAAAATACTACCTATTCCGTTAACTAACCCACGTTTATTTCTATGTACGTTGTTTTTTGTTTGGAATTTTACGTTTAAGGATTCAGCGATACGGGTTAAGAGAATGAAATGGGTTTGTACACTGGTTTTGAAAGCAGTCATCCTTGGGGATGATTCTTCAGTTAGATCAAAGGGCGCAGAAAGCAGTTTTTCGTTATTTCTAATGGTTTGTTTTGAGGGATCTAGTTCTTTATAGACGAGTAGAGTCTTTTCGTCGTTGGATATTCTAATCGTGCTTTATTCGTGCGGTAAAATATTCCTATAGTGTTATTGACTGACGCTGGGATCAGCACGAGAAGTCTGAAAGTATGAAGGATTTCAATCTATCGAAATTTATTTTTGAACTCTGATTAGTAGTTAAGTTTTCAACTTCAGCCGAAGTCTAAATATTTCGGTGATAAGGAATGGGCCATCAAATTGCTTTTGGGCTTTTGTTGTGATTTGAGATTCCTTGACGTAAAATTTGTCGCCTACTTTATATTCAGGAGTTTTTTGGTTCATAGCTTGGTCAAAACGGATTTTTGCTTTTTCTTTTTCGGTGTTTGTTTTGGAACGTGCCACTTTGTAGTAATACTTCCTGCGTATTTTGAGATCTCTAATTTATTTTGAGATAAGTTCTTGTTGGTTTTACAAGGTCTCTGGGGGTCGACTAGAGGTATAGCCAAAAATAAGTTCGTATGGCGTAAAGCCGCAAATTACATCATAGGGTAAAATGTTGAAGGGGTGGGGTGTTCGTCAGGGTTTTCCATTTTATGGACTCGAATCATTTTTGTTAGGGTCGTATGGAATTTTTCCAAAAATCCATTTGATTCCGTAAAGATGGCTGAAGTCTTTGAAAAAGGCGTTATCAAATTATCTACCGTGGTGACAATGTATTCTCAGAGGAGTGCCATAGTGATGGAAAAACAATAGGAGTGTGTTGACGACGGAAGATGTTTTTTTATCTGATATGGCGTACGCTTGGGTGAATTTGGTAAGTTCATCCCTAATAGTTAAAGCGTAATTTTGTGTGGGAAATTCGAAGGGATCGATATTAATACGTTCAAAGGGTGTTTTCGGGGTTTATGTGATTGTTTCATTTATTCCACGATGTAGGTTGGTTTTTCTTGTGTGGTACTGATCGAGTATATTAGGAATTTGGTCTTTATCCGGTGTTTTAACAATATTCTGACAGATTTTTAGATTAATCTGTTTGTCAGCGAAAATGAAAGATAAGATCTCAAGGATGGGTAACTGTAAGTTATTTTCAACACAGTATGTTTTAGAGGCTCAAATTTGTGTAGAAAAGTAAACAGAATGAAAAAGCGGTGTTGGAGGACT